TGTAAAAGCTAATCACATTCCACAGAATGAGGATCTCAGAAGAACTGCAAGGAACAGGAATTTATACTAAAATTATAAAAACAAATATTCAGTAATATTCACCCATCTTACCTTTTTAAGTCCCCAAAACAGAGCATTTTTCTCCAATTCAAATTCTCTGTCAAGTTCTTCTTCATACTCTGCCAGGAATAACAAATACCTCCATTAATAACAGAAACTAGAGTCAGCCGGCTGGCTCAGTTTGTTTTTAAACAGTATTACATTGCATTATAAACACCGTACCTATGACAGGAGACATCTACGCAGGAGGAATTCTGCAAGGGTGAGAGCCAAGCAAAGATAAAAAAGATGGACTTTCCGTAGCTACTACTGCCCTCCTTGAACTTTCATTACCATAATTTTTAGCCAATGGATGCACGCTACTATGAACCAATAACAATGTCCTTTCCTCAGGCCTTCACTTCATGCTGATCCATGCAAGCCACGTGAACTCTACCATACATACTGTATAAATTTCTCTGTGGTGGCTGCACAGCCACCCAAATTTCACAAAGTAGAAGCATGCTGGTTCTGTAGATTTGGAGGCTTCCATGACCTCTCATCCTTAATGCATACTTGATTTTACTGGTAAAGAAAGCACAGCATGAAAATACATTTATAAACACTTATTTAATGTAAATAAAACTAACCATGCCTACAGATCAAGATCTAAGCATCCAAGTGCTCACCATATGGGAGCAAAAAAGGCTTGCAGATGGGAAGACACATAAAAATGAGATGGAGCCTCAAGTCAAAAGACCAGTTCTGGCTTAGAACTAAGGTCACTCCGGTAGTATGTCAGCTTCCACCCGAGCAACTGATGAGACTGAAAGTGTGGAAAGCATCTGGCTCTTCCCACTGCATCTATATCATTTTTAAAAGACCCACTGTTTCTATTTCACTTCTCAATACAATCTCACTTAGACTTCTGGAGAAACCATAATATAATAGATCTTCTTCTTCTAAAACTGCAGTTAAGAGTTAACATTTATGTTTTCCACTACTCTGCAAGTAAGGGTGCGTGGCTGGCCTAAGTAACTATGTGATTTTATCATTGTTACTCTTGTCCTTCTTCCTTCTGTTGTTTGTTGCACCTACTTTTGGTAAACTTTCCTAACTGAAGTCCTAACTTTGCAACTTGTTCCAGGTAGGGAGAATTCTCAGCAGCGCCTTTAGTCAGTCAGGCTTTCTGTGTGGGCCTGGGTCCACTCACTTGGAATAGCTGTGTAGCTGGAGTCTTAAACAGTGAGCTCTTCAAGACAAGACTCTTGTCTTCCTATGCTTTTCACAATGGGATGCTACTGTACAAACAATACATTAGAATAATTAAACAGAAAGGCTACATTTTGGACAAACTGATTTTTACCAAAGAAAAATAGAAAGAGAGTCTTGGCCTACCAAAATGAAACAAAGATGCAGCAAAATTGCTGAGCATGTTATTGGCAATCTGCAGTGAGAAAAGTATGTTTTTATTTTTCCCCCTTCCCCTAGCACTCATCCATTCAGGACAATTTGAATATGGTAGCAAAAGTGTTATTTACACATTGGCAAGTTTTCACCATCTTTCCATACAATAGAACTTGGTGCTAGAAATTACAATCTAAAAACTGATGTTCAATGTTATGTCATCTCTGCTTATTTTACTAATTATAAAAAGTAAAGAAAAACTTATCCTTATTTTCAAAGTTTTTAAGACTGTTCTATATCTCCCTCTAGTGGAAAAATAACATGTGGGACTTGAAAAAAAATCAATGCAATAAAAATAATGATATTGTACACCATTTTATGGGAAATATCATTAAAACCAGGCTTTTTTAAGTGCTGGAGTCAACTATCTTGTTAATCAGCTAGGTCCTGCAAATAATAATGCATGATCTTGCCTTTATTCATGTGACTAGCTCATTGATTGCAGTGGAACTACTCACATTAATCCAATTAAGCCCATGAATGAGACTTTTCAAGATTAATGTCCTTAGATAGCATAGAATATGTGACTGATTGAAATACAACATCACTTTCACTATTCCTCTGACCAGTAATTATTTTTATTTATTTATTGCTAAATTAATAATTTGCATTAAGATATCCAAAATGTCAATAAAAAAATTATATTTGCTTATTTATTTTAAATTTTAAGTATACCTATCATTTGTGTTTGGATGCACATATGAATCTAACCAAGATTTCATAGATTTCATTAGGGCTGGAAGGGACCTCAGAAGATCATCGAGTCCAGCCCCCTGTCCAAAGGGCAGGAAGTCAGCTGGGGTCACAGGACCCCAGCAAGATAAGCATCCAAATTGCTCTTGAAGGTGTTCAATGTAGGTGCTTAAACCACCTCTGATGGCAGGCTATTCCAGACCCTGGGGGCTCAGACAGTAAAGAAATTCTTCCTTATATCCAGCCTGAAACAGTATTGCAGTAGTTTATAACCGTTTGACCTCATCATCCCTCGGGGCGCTCTGCTGAACAATCTTTCCCCCAGATCCTGGTGATCACCCCTGATAAACTTATAGGTGGCCATCAGATCGCCCCCGAGCCTGCGCTTTTCCAGGCTGAAGAGCCCCATAGCTCTCAGCCTGTCGTCATAAGGTCTGTTTTCCTGACCTCTGATCATGTGCATGGCTCTTCACTGGACTAAGATATAAGCAAGATATAAAATCATTGCTAAAAATATAATAAACCAAAACTAACAATAATGTTGGAAATGTATTCTGAGTTCAGCCAATTCATAATAAAACTTCAACTATCTAACTTGCTCTTTGTTCCACTGGCTAAGTTGTTGGAAACTTGAAAATATTCTGTCTGTTTGGAAATAAGTTAGTGAATACATTTGTAAAAGGATTTTGGTACAAGGGTAGACAATATCAGAGAAAACATTTCTAAACATCAATCCCCAAAAAGTCAATAGCACACAGAGGTATAATAGAATATTTTATGTTAGTTCAAACAGCAATCCCCACAAAGTCTATTAAATGTTTGCAACAGCTCAGTTAAGGATGACACTGAAGGAAGCAGGTGTTTTGATACCAGCATGGGACGATAATATAGCTGTTTGTGTGTATAAACATGATTTAAAAACCAATACGTCTTTTAAATACTTCCCTTATCCCTTTCAGATTCCTAGACAAAGCAACCACCACAGCCATCAAAGAACTGATGTGCAGCAGAACCCTCTACAGTGAGATATTATGAGAGGAAACAATTATACAAGATAGCTTTGAGTAAATAGATGGGAACAGGTGCAAACTGCTGTACTGTGCCAGAATAGATAAATCCTACTGCTTAATTATCTGCTGAAGAACACATTTTAATATACATAATACTCATTTGACTATTTTACAATTCCGTTCAGTTTTTGTAATTGAAAGGTGGCCATAGCATCTTTTTAATGTCTTGTCACAAATCATTTAAGAGTGTTGTATTTACATTATTTTGTAGTAAAATATCAGTAACGCAAAACATTACTTCGTTAAAATATATCATAAGCAAACTAGTAAATCTTTAACAACCTAGTATTAAAATGCTCTATATCAGTGACTTTCAACCTTTTTTCATTTGCAGACACCTAAAAAATTTCAAATGGAGGTGCAAACCCCTTTGAATTGTAATTGTAGGTATTAACATACTTCTGATTGATCACAGTCATATTTTACAAACCCCTTAGACATAGTCTATGGGCCCCCCAGGGTCCATGGACCACAGGTTGAAAACCACTGCTCCAAGTCATTGATTTCTTGAATTAGCAAGGGACAAGATGAATGAAGAGTTATCTTTTTGTCCTTTCAATGTTCAACTAAGTAAATGAACTGATACATAAAATAAGAAATAAGGATAGTTGAACTGACAGGTGCAATAAGTAGTGAATGAAGAGCTAATTACAGACAAAAGGCCACAAAGACTGAAGGGCACAGTCAACTTTATGCACTGTGAATAGTTCCACTGATTTCAATGGGACTTTGCATAATGCATAAAGACAAGTACAAGCTTACATGCTTTCCTGGACTGGGGTCTAGATATTCTTAATGAAACATTAGCATTCATTTCATAATACAGCGTGCAACATTTCATGGCACTGGTTAGTAAATACTAGAGTTTGCGAAGCTTCAGTCCCTGATACGATTCAGCAGAGATTCAGCCCAATTCAGTGGCCAAATCTCTGAATCCAAATCGAATTAGGATCGATTTGTAATCTCTCTGAATTGAACTGGAACCCTCCGAATCAATTCAGAGAGATTTGGAAAGATTCGGAGATTCAGACATAGGCACAGCTTTAAATGTTTTTTCTACATACCTCAAGCTACTAGGCAGCTCGTCAATGCTGAGATGCTGGGGTGGATGAAGCATCCTACAGAAGCACGGGGGGCTCCCCAGCATGCTCAGCAGCAGACCCAGAAGTGGAACAGAAGCACTTCTGGATCTGACAGGAAGCGCACGGGGCAGGGGGGGAGGGGGCCAGCTCAGCGACTGGTGCCTCCTGGGGCTGGGGTTGTACACATAGAACCCCTGCAGCTGATTGCTGAGGTGGAGGGGTGCAAGGGCTCCCCCCAGCGAGCTCCCTGGCAGACCCAGAAGTGGACTGAAACTACTTCCGGTCCACTTCCAGGTTCACTACCGAGCATACAGGGGACCCCCCACGCTCCTGTGGGATGCTCCAACTGCCACAGCACTGCAGCATTCACGAGCCACGCCTGGTACCTTGAGGTATGTAGAAAAAACATTTAAAGCTGTGTCTATGGCCGAATCAGCATCAAATCTTCAGATTCAGATGTGGCCGAATCAAACTGAGGACAGTGATCCAAATCAACAAATCTAATTCGGGGAGAATCCAAATCCAAATCGAATACAGCCCATTTTGCACACCCCTAGTAAATACATAAGGCTAGAGAGACTGGAATCTTTATCATGAGAAGTGTTCAAGTCAAGGGTCAACAGACAGACACAGCCTGTGAAGAGGAACAAGTCCAGGGCAGTGTTGGGGGGTAACCTGTCTCTACAATACCTTCATCCACAGCCACCCCTGCTCCTCTCTTATTCCTGCACTAACCCTTGCTGCAGAGGGGGACCAGGTGTTTGCAGCAAAAGTAAACTCAGGCAGCTTGCGCTCTCCAGAGGGTGCAGATTTGCAGCCCAGGGCAGGGCCGAGTGCCAAGCTCTACATTGCATAAAATTAAAGAAAAGCTTTTACATTTTTTTTCTCTTACAATATGTATCGTAACTGAATTCAAAGATCTATTTGATCTATTTCTATGAATGGCAAACATCAAAATGCTCTTTACCATAGAGCCCTTCCTGAAACCTTAAACACAAGTTCAGACTAAACTCTAACAAAAGCAGCCTTGTCCACTGGCACTCTCCTCATATTTATTTTTATACTGTTGGTTCACTGAAAAAGAGAGTATAGGTACTTCCAGTTCAAAGTCCCAGTGTAAAACCCTGCTGGATCTTGCCTGGAAAAAAACTAACATATTAAAGAAGTAGAACTAAAACAGCAATTGGCCATCAGAAACTACAAAAGGGAGAAGCAATAAAAAAATGAACATATCAGTCTCAAAAACATACCTCTGGAAACTTTGTACACTTCATAGAAAGAGTAAAAGTGAAAGCCAAATGAAAGAAACAGGTAAAGGCACATTTCCCATAGTGGAAGCACCATTCTTGTCATGTAAGTTTCCCAGGCTTCTAATACATAGATGATGTTTTTCTAAAAAATATAAGAAAGAAACAGACATAAGAAAATTTAATATAGCATGTCTTTATTAGCAATAATCAGGAATATAGAAATAATGATTTTGCAACACATTTTCAGAAGATTTAGAATGATACAATTTACAAAGCTTCTCAATGTTCTGGTTACAACGTGACAAAATACCTAATAATGCTTATATTTACTACTTCGTTACTTTTTTTAAAAAGATGATTTCAAATCTGAAAGATAAAACTATCCATCTAGCACAGGTGTTGTCAACTGGGGGTAAGCATACCCCTGGGGGCACTTTGAAAGGTCCCAGGGGGTATGCGGGGCGGGCGGGGACGGAGTACAGCTACCCCATGCCACTGCTTTACAGGAGCAGGGCCCGGGTGGGGCGAGAGCAGGGCTGCACAGACACTACACTGTCACCGCTCGCCACACCCCTGCTCCACATCTGGCCGCTCGCCAACCCCCCTCCACCCCTGAGGGTACACTTACTAAAAGGGGACTAGTGGGGGTACACTTATTTTAAAAGGTTGAAAACCCCTGATCTAGCACATTTAGGATGCTCAGAAAACCTAGTCAGCATATGTCCATAGTTAAATATCCTGAACAAAAAACTGCAGATGTAGCACTTCAAAATAGACTTTAAAATTAGACTTTGCTGGAGTCTACTACACCTCATTGAGTAGTGAGTATTTTAACATTAACAGCTTTCCTTTGCAGTGGATATAACTTAATAAAGGGCATTTTCAATGTCAAGAATCTAATTCAACAGAACATGTCTAACCTCTGCATTGCAACAGCATTCAGAAAGAATACAAGTTTTCTGCAATGCAGATGCTGGACTTTTTACTGCCTCTAGCCCTCTAAGGGAAGTTTTGACTGAGTATATAATTGCCTTTTCCAAATTTCAAGTTATTTCAAAACTCAAAAACTCTTTCACTCTGCTTAATGATCCCTAATGAAACTTCTGAATTATCAAGTCTAATGTTCCCATCTGAAATACCTTTATCATAATATAAATGATTATTTTTCTTTGGATCTTTTTTCAAATACAGTGTACTTAACTGTCTCTATGCTAAGAGGGCTATATTTAGCAATGTGGTTGGGGAGGAGGTTGGTTTGGGCATTTAAATAATTCTCATAGTAACAGCTTCTAGCACAGTGGATCTTTTTCATCAGACCCCTAAACGTACCTGCCTCCTCTCAACAGCCTCCACCCTTCCAGTTTCCAGCTTGATTCTGAGTTTTTCACCCTGTTGACCAACAACAACAGGACAGCAGGCCATAGAATTACCCCCAGGCAACACAAAGAAAACAATTACTGTACAGGCTGAAGATTTGATGGCCTGATCCAACGCCATGAAAGATTTCAACTAATTTCAGTGGCCTGTAAGAGATCTGTCATATGACTACAGCTGACTCTTTGAAGAGTCACTTTAGCACAAAATTTATGCATTTGCAAGTTCTCTGTGCAGATCTCAGTGAAAACAGGTTGCTCAAGGTTGTGTCCAATTTGTGATTTAGTAAACACTTGCTGCAACAACAGATAGGGAACATACACACAGGATTGTTCACTTCTGTTCAAGATTGAACACTTCTGTCAAGTTGCACCCTTTTGGTCCAAGTATACCCGGCAAATGCACTAAACCTCTTGTGTCTGCCAATTCTCCCTGGGTCCAGTACACAGAAATGTGTGAAAGGAGGAAACTAATCAGGAAAACCTTTCCTGAAAACACAGGTGATAGAGATTTGGAGTTGTTTATTTAAGCACTATCTATACAAATTAAACTCAAGTAAACCTCAATGTGAGGTGTCCCCCCTCACCCAAGTTCCTCATGTCAAACCTAGCCATGAGTAACCAAGTGCTCAGATAGTTGGGGCAAACACCTCTCCTTGGATTAGTCATTTTCCTGTCACAGGACCTTCATTACTTTAAGAATCCACAGACCTGATCTTCCACTCTTTACCTCCCAAAAAATCCCATTAAACCTAACTGGAGTACTGCCAGTGTCCAGACCATGTGTTTGCACCAAAGCCTAAAATCAGCAGTAAGCTCACAATGCAGACACTCAAACTGCTGCATCCACACTGACCTCAATGCAGAATCAAGTTCCCAGCATTTAACAGTAAACCCTGTACTGCACCATCACACATTTTAAGAATAAAAATCAGATGTTATATGTAAATACTGTATATTTACTACCTAGTCTATTTGCTTAAAATGATCTGGATGGTTTTTGTTTTCTGGTGTCATAAACACTGACAGAGGAAATAAAATTATTTTAAAACGAAAACACCAGAAACAGTGGGCGAGACCCCTTGATTGTAACATGGGCGGTTTCTTACCATAAAGAAACTGGGTTTTTTCTTTTTAACCAAAGGCCCCAAAACTGAATCTGAACCAAAGGGACACGCCACAGAGGCAAGACACAAAGATCTACCTGCATTCTAAACTGTACAGACTGGCCACATCTACACGAGACACTGACTGCGCAGTAGTTCGTTACTACTGCACAGTAGCATTGTGTGGCAGGAAGCACGACATGATGCTACTGCGCACCAGTAGCAAACTACTGCACAGCCAGCATCACCTAAAAGCTATTTGGCGACACTACGGCGCAGTAACTCTGGTTACTGTGCAGTCATTTAGTATTTGTCAACATGAGAACTGAGTAACGCCCAGTAACGACTGTACAGCCAGCATCTCATGTAGATGCAGCCAGTGCAAACCCACTGAAGTCAAGGGGACCATGCACAAAGCATAAAGATCACACACGTGCTTGCACGCAGGCTCGTGTGCTTACACACACACGCTGACACAAGCTCACGCGTGCACTGACACAAGCTCACACATGCTTACACGCACACATTTGCCAAACCACTGCATTCCCTTTTACCCATTTTAAAAGCTGCTGCATTTCTGGAAACAAGGGGCAAGCCCCAGTGCGACCGCCAAGACACTCACTCATTCCCACTATTCAGAAGACCAAGTACTGCTCACGAAAGACAGAAAGACTCAAAAATAAGAGTGAATAAGAAATTGGAGATGTCTTTATTCTCTTCACGACCAACTAAGGGCCAGGCCGTGCCTGGCACGCAGCCCTTCTCCGCCTCTGTGCAGCACACCCCCGCCCTCAGAAGCCAGCAGCGCCAGTGGCCCCCCCCCGGGCCACAACCCGCGCCGCGAGGAGCCCTCAGTGCCCGGCCACAGGTGCCGGGGCCGCGCGCAGGAACCCGAGCCCCGGCACAGACGCAAAGGCATCCGCAAGGGCTGCATCCAACCGCGCCGCCACTCGGGAGCGCGACCATTTCTGCAGCGGGTGACGGGAAACGCGCGCCCGGCTCTCCCCTTGTCCCGGGAGCCCCGCTCCCTCCCCCTCTCCGCGGCCTGCGTGTGCAGGGCACTCCCGCCCCGCCTCACCGCAGCCCGCTCCCTCCCCGGCGCGGGGCTGACTGCAACGCGGAACAAAGGCACGGACCTGCCTCCCAGAGCTGCCCGGCTCCCGCCGCTTCCGGCCGCGGCCTGCCCCGCTCCCCCCCTTCCCGCCCCCACTCCGCCCGGCCGTCAGCAGCCAGCTCCCGGCTCCGGCTTCTGCGGGCTCTGCTCAGCTCAGGCCAGCAGCGGGTCCCACCTCAGAGACTCCAAGATCCAGAGGTTTCCCCCCGAAATAAATTAATAAAACGAGGTTAAAACCATAATAATAACAATACGGGTTTGGAGTTGCACTCTGCTTTCTGAACCCCTGGTGCACGGGGGGTTTCAAACATGTTCCAGCAGCCAGGAGGATTTGCCCTTCATGGCCCGGTGCAGGCAATACTTTATGAGAGCCCCCCATGAGAGACGAGAGCCCTCCTGTAAGATTTGAAATCATAAGGTGGGGCTTGGATTTTATTAGGGCATCGTGATGGGCAGCCCAATTTTTTTTTTTGCAGGTCCCTGCAAGAGGCAAAGTGTAATTCGAACCTTGACTTGAACAGTAGCAGTGATGAGAAACAGGTCCATACCCATGGGCCTCCCAAGTCCAGGGGGGGCACCACATAGCCCACCGGGATCCTCCAGCAGCCAATCACCAGGTCCCCCAGCGGCTGATCGCACTTCCAGTGTCGCAGCTGGCGCTTCCAGGGGGTGCATGGCCAATCTCCGGGGATGCACATGCACCCCCTACACGTCACCAATGTCTATACCTGTAACAGAAGAGAAGTTTGGCACACAAGCTGTCTGTACCTGTAACCGAACAGAAGTTTGGCATGTAGACTGGTTTAAAAATGGCAGAACCCGGTCTAAGATTTGCCCCCCCACCAAAGGGCAAATACATGTTCTGTTTGCTACCGACTGAAACTACGCTGCTTGCAGAAAACTGTAACCAATCCTGCCTTGGGCTTTTTGAATGCCTGTACCTAGCCCGTGTGTTCCACAGTGAAAAGAAAAATGGTCACAAAGGTGAGTGGGGTGCACAGACAGAGGGAGAAAATATTATTTTCTTCCTCAGCCGCTGAATGCACATGGGCGCACCGAGTAGCGTTGTAGTGTTGCTGCTGTTGCCAATCACTGAAAAATTAGTTTGGGGGACCGAGCCTTACACCACCTGTGGTGGGGTGAAGGGTGTTTTGGTGGCTCTCCCTCCCTGCCACATCAAGTTCAGCCCTCACATAAAGACCCTGCAGGGACTCGCTTCTCGCAGATTCGATCGCCTGTTTCACTGTTGGCTTCCCCCCACATCACCAATGAATGATGACAGTCTTTTCTGCTTCTTCCCTAACCTCACCTATACTTCAATATTACCAGTCCCAAATGTTCGAAAAATTGAATCCTCAGTGAATGCACACTTTCACCCTTTATCATGCAGAGACAAAGGTATTGACTAGGCCAGATATGGGCTTGCCAGCTCAGGTGATTTACATTATTGCAGGTCCTGGTGATGTCATTTTCCAAAATCCCCAACTCTAGCTGTGGTGTTTTAATCAGGTTAGAGTAATAGAAAAGTGTTCTCAATTTATTCCCTCCACCCCTTTTGCACTCCCTCCTTTTTTCAATCACTGTGGGCAATAACACCCAACGCTCAAGCCCATAAGCATCATCATGGATGTGGACCAGTCCCAGGGTCCTGACATCCAAGCTGTGACTAAATCTTTCAGGTTCCTTCTCTCTCTGAAGGAGAGCTGGATCTCTCTCTAATTAGCTGACCTGAAGGACCATCTCCCAACTTCTGTAATCTAAGGGAGTGTCTCTAAATTACAGCTTCTATCACTACAGGGGAGAGGAGCATTTAAGACCCTGAATGACAGTCTTGTGGTAGTTGGCCTGGCCTACCAGTGCTCAAGTGGAAGTTGCAAGACTTGTGTGTAGGGGGGTATACCCCTCTTGGAGACTCCCCCTTCCTTCTCTCCCTTCCCTTTCAGAATGAAACTCAAGGATTAAATTTCCAGCCTCCAAAGTATCTGCCCCTCAGAGGCATAAAGTGGGGTAGGTGACCACAGCATGTACTCTGGGAGATGACCAGTGTGGCATGCTAAGCATCTTGCTTGGCATGTGTACCTTGGGACGGACGGCAGGGAAGGAGCCAGGGGTGTGCTGCCACAACAAGGTTCGGGACCCTCGCACATCCCCCCTGTCCACTCCTGGGACACCAACATTTTACAAGCTGAGGTTGTAGGTGTTTTTGGCACTCTGCCCAAAAACATTTCCAACCCCTGACCTAAGGGGAGGAGCATCAGAAGGGCAAGGGGGGGGGTGTATTTGCCTTACTACTGCCTACCTGCTTCTATGACTAATATTGCCAAGCACAGGCAATGGGTGTCATGGAGTGCAGAGCATTCTGGGAATCATAGTTTTGTAGACCAGCAATTGAGCTTGCTGCTGTTGGAGGGGATGAGAACAAACCCCCATTTTTTGCTGCCAAATTCAGTATTTTTGCCTCTGGACTACAGGCTTGGTAGCAAAAAAAATGAGGTGAACATTACCTCCCTTCCCCCCACCTCCCAACCCCTAGCAATGAACTCCACTGCTAATCTAGAGAACTATGATTCCCAGAACAGCTTGGACTCCCTGGCACCACCTGGCACACCTTGCTGCTGTTTTCTGCTTGCTGATGTTCCTATGCCTGCAATTTAAAAGGTAGGAGGAGAGGAGGGAGTAGGAAAGGGTGAGAGAAGGTTGCCCTGTGTATATTTTTGCCATGCATTTTTTTCCTCTGGAGTGCCATGTAGCCTATGGGATTGGCTCTGTACTAGTAGGGTGGGAATACAGCAACAGTACTGTACTCTTCTTCTCTCCGCCCCTCACAAGACACAGTTCACTTCACTGCCCACTTCACTTCTTGCCGTGTATATCATGCTCGTCTTACTCTCTGCTTGTACTCCTCATCTACATCTATCTGTGGTTTCCTAACCTATACCTGTAAGTTATCTGGGGCAGTGTCCACTTTTTTATCCATGTTTGTACAGTGTCTACAACAGTGTGTTTCTGGTCTGCCGTTAGGGCCCATACACACTACAAAAACACGAATGATAAAAATAATAAGATCCCAGAAGGAAGATTACACTTTCCAAATGATAGCCAGGAAGAGGAGCCCAGCGTTTGACTTCTGTATGTATTAGAAGGGGTCTTTTGGCATACAGTCACAAGACAGATGGTAGTGGCAAAAAGTAAAACACTAGGAAATTCTATACACATTGAACAGAAGAATTTTGTTCCAGTAAAGAGGATGCAAAGTGATTTATAAAGTAAAATTAACTGTTAAATTAAAAGATATTTCAAACTGTTATCTGGCATGATGACATAAAGGGTGACAAGAAATATTACTTTTGTGCCTCCAGAAAAATGTGGTGGGACAAAAGCCAGGCAAACAGATATCCATACCCTTTGTCACACTGCAGATGCCCATAATTTGTGGCTGCATCATAGGTGGTATTCATTTGTGCCACTTCATTACAATAGACATCCATTAGGTGTGTGGTGGGAGAGTTGCCCATGCTTTCCAGCTGCTCTGTGCAGGCATTCCCGGGCTGTAGCTGATAATTGGCTGATTGTTGTTGGTCCCAGCCCCAGGACCACACCAGAATGTTGAACTTGCTCTGGTGTGGTCCCAGGGCTGTGACTGCTAATCAGCTGATCGGCAGTCTCAGCTCCCGGACCACACTGGAGTTGGCTTTCCCCATTAACAGAAACATGCCTCAGATTCTCCAGGGTACGTCTCTGTAAGCAGAGGAAACCAAGGTTCTGCACATAGATGCACACCCTGGGGAATCTCTAAGGCACTTCTCTGTAAGCAGAGGAAGCTAGAGTTCCCTGCTTAGAGACCCACCACAGGGAATCTCTGAGACACGTCTCCAAGCAGGGAAAGCTGGGGTTCCCTGCTTACAGAGAGTCACCTTGGGGAATCTCCAAGGAAGATTTCTGTAAGTGAGGCATGCGTTTCCCCACAGGATCAGGCCTCTGCCCAGTCCAGAACAACAAGCAACGTGTGTTTCACCCAGTGAAGCAAGTAGCTCTAGTGAGACATGTCCCACCACAGCTGATCTGCTTCATTTAGTACTATCTGTTTACACCCTAACCTCCCAAAGAAGAAACGCAACACTGAAAGTGGTCTCCTGGGTAAATGAGACCAATGGGAGGGGGGAGAAGGAGGGGAAGGAGCTCAGGCTGGGATTTGCCCAGCCTGCACTGGAGTGGGGACCAGTGGATTGGATCACCTTCATCTGACCCCTCATGTAATGAGTTAATTTGTCATGTGGTTGGGCACTTTTAAAGCGCTCTGCAGCCATGCACTTCTGCCAGGGTATGGCTGTAGAGTGCTTTCAAGGGCCCAATTGAGCAAAAAATGTAACTTCTTTCTGCACCCAGAAAGACAGGCCAAAAGAAAATGGCTAAAGTACTTTGAGTGCCTTTAGTGGTTTTATGCTAATTAGATCTGATCTGAGACAAGAAGTAGCTTAATTAAAAGATAAAAATAGACATATGAACATTGATTAGAGTAGAACTATTAAGAACACTTTTTAAATTTTTATCTTCTTAATAAGCTTTTTATATTGAGCCAGGTAGCTTTTTATCTTCAACCTTGAACTATGGTCCTTGCTGAACAGCACATCTGCAGATGAACTAAGATGAGTATTATTAGAAGAAGAAACAAGATGGACTTTTAGCATCAACAGTCTTGAATAGCTTTGCTGACATATCTGCAATGTTGAGAGTTAAAATATGAAGGAAACTCCAGGCAGAGTTAAACATGATGGTGGGATAGCATGCTAGAGAAAAGCAGCTCTTGGCCAGAGAAGTATGGGAACTGAAAGAAGTAGAGGAGCTTTGGGAAGCTGAAGAGGCTGGAAGGGGAACAAATGACTTTCTTTAGGGGTGTTCAGTGTTGCATGGGCTGGACTGGGGACAAAGGACCTACTTAACCCCTTTGGAAGGGACAGAGAACTTCTGGCTGGGCATCCTTTTCCCCAGTAAATGCCTATACTGAAGTGAGAGTCTGAGAGTCAGCTGTGCTACTTGAATCTTTGAGTTGTGCTCAGTATCCACACACTG